GAACCATTAGATACTTGAGGAGGAGGAGGAGGAGGAGGAGGAAGGAGGAAGGAGGAGAGAGGAGGAGGGGGAGGAGAGAGGAGGAGGAGGGAGGAGAGAGGAGAGAGGAGAGGGAGGAGGAGGAGGGAGGAGGAGGAGGAGGAGATTCTGCTCGAGATGGCTCATGTTCATGGCAGAGGCGATCATGTTGGATTCCTTCAAGCAGTTCGTCGAGAAGGTCTGAGTTTTCCCCCTCCCTTCCTCCTCCCGCCCCTGACTCCTCCCCCAGCTCAACGTCCTTCATCGCTGCATCACCGAGATGTACAGGTAGCTCCCTCCTCTTCCTCTTCCCCCTCTCCGCCTCCGCCTCCTCCTCCTCCTCCTCCCCCTCTCCTCACTGCTCCTGTCTCTCACGCACTCACTGTGGCACCAGGAGCATACCCGAGTTCCCCGACACCTCCCCGAAGCTCTACAAGATGGCGGCGAGCAGGTGACATAGCAGGAGTTGACATTCTCTGCTCAAGTACTTGCCAGGTTCATGATGAGCAGGGAGAGATTCCTGGCGGTTAGTTCTTCCTGCCTCCTCCTCTCCTCTCTCTTACTTTCATGTTTTAGAGCATCCTGCGGACAGCTGCTGTCCTTCAGTTCGCCAAGACTTTCTTGCAGAAGAAGATTGATCTGGGATGATGGTGGAGGACGAGAAGACTTGAAGATCGGACGACGAAGAAAAGAAGAACTTCGGAAGAAAAAACTCAGTTATGAGGAGGTGGAGAAGGAGGATGTTCAGTAAGAGCAGGAGGAAGTTGAAGAATCGCAACCCGAACATGATTGTAATGATCATCCTATGATAGTATCAGTGAAATAAAAACAAACCCAATCAACTTCACCATTCAACAAGTTTTTCTACCCGGGCCCGGCCCGGCCCGGCCCGGTGCCAGTTACTGGCAGTGGTCGACTGAGGTAGTACTGTACCAGTAGTAGTTTTACTCAACCCTGCGCGTCAAACAGCCTTTTGACGCTGATGGCCATTGAACTAGCTAGAGTGGGGGGCGGGAGGAGCAGGAGGAGCAGGAGGAGCAGGAGGAGCAGGAGGAGCAGGAGGAGCAGCAAGGGAAGGAGCGGGCGAGGAGAAGGGGAGAAAGAAGAAAGGAAATGAAAGAGGAGGAACCAGCAGCAGCAGGGGTTAGAAGCATGGGCAAGGGCAGGGACAGGGACGAGTTTCGCAATTCAAGGAGTAGCAATCTAACAAGTACCAAGAAGCCTGAAAAGTAGCATGATGAGGTAGTGATTTTGAATAGAAGAGATCCCATGGTCTCAATCACAATCATACGAACCAAACATGCCAGAGGAAAAACAGTGATGCATGACATCGATGAATGGTTGCGAGTCTGTAGTGGTGGGGATGCAATCTTGTACACAAAATGCTTGCTGTTAGCCACAAACTCTTGAGGAGATTCAGATGGCATCGAAGTTGATGGAGAGATCAAGAACTGTGTTGGTCAGATGTTGATGAGGAATCCTGCAAAAACCTTCCAGTACGTAGAACGTTGTGAAGGGAAACTTGCAGAGTTGGAACATACGAGACTGTGTTTTAGACTTGTTTGTGCTTGTGTGTTGAATGTGCTTGTGTGTTGAAACAACTTTCTTGTTCCAGATAGGATAGGTTCTAGAGAAGTACCTCTGACGTTGAATGTTTGTTCAACAGGCGAGGTGAAGCATGAAGAGACAAAGAGAGGGAAGGAGGAGCACCTGATCAAGGAAACATGCAGCCAGTCCGATACAGATCTCAGCTTATTAGCCTATTTGTGGTGGTCTTGTCGGGCGTTCCGGCAATCTCGGGAACAGCAGATCAGTGGGACCTGGGAGTCAATACAACAACAAAGTTTGGTTTCCTCTCCAGCGTGGTCTACAAACCTGTTGCCGGATGCTTCGCCATTGCCGGGAAGATATCCACAGGATTCTGCGGCATCTCGGAAGATTTGACCCCGAACCCAGCGAGCGGCAAGTTTCAGGTGAGATGGAAGCCGAGCAGTGCCTGAGTTGTTCGTGACTTGCTGTGTCACTGCAGAAGAAGATTTGTGCTCCCAATGGCGACGTTATCACAAAGTTTCGGGTGCATCTCCAGGTATTCTTGCCCTTCCTAGCGCGAGCATTCTTTCTAAAGGCTAGTTCTGCAAGAGCATTGGGGAGACCTTCACGTTCGATTCCTGCCTGAACAAACTGCTGGGAAGCACGATCGATCAAGAGTGCAGGGTGATCGGAGGGAAGTTCAACGTTCAAGACCTCGTCACACAGAGACGACAAGTCCTGCCAGACTGCTGTATCGCCTACTTCCAGGTCACCCACAACTTGTGGGGTCGCTCGATGTCTCTGACAGCCCACCCAGGGCTCCACCGAGGTTTGCAACTGCGACCGCACTCTCCTTTCCCAGTACTGCAGTGACTTCTGCTGCTGCAAGAGTGTTCTCGACGTACGGGCCGGCCTTGTGCCACCGTCATCACTGACTGACTTGGCTGGCTCAGAACATTGGGATCTCTTCTAGCGCGGAGGAGCGTCTCGCCAAGGTAGAGAAGACTAAGTCAGACTTCAAGGATCTTCAGGCACGGCCTCGCCCGTATTATTGCCTTTGTCCTCATATAGCTGGCAGGCTCAGCTTCGCCTGATCGTGCAGCAAGAGTGCTGTGAATCCTTGCTGTTCAACCAGGTTCCCCAGTCCTCCTTCTGCCCCTGCCCCTGCCCCTGCCCCTGCCCCTGCCCCTGCCCCTGCCTCTCCTGCCTCTCCTCCTCCTCCTCTCTCTCCCTTTCCCTCATGGCACAAGTTCAGTGCACCGCGACTGGCGACTGCAGGGATGAAAACAGTCCCACCAAATACCTCCAGCAGGTGAGCAGGACAAAGCTCGGAGTACCTCATGCACTCACAACATTTTTTGATCGTTCGCAGCTCACTGCCTTTCCCATGTGCTGTCAGTACTGCTACGACATCTACGACCGGCGATGCAGGTACACGGAAAGGAGAGGCCCGGTGGTAGGGTGGTGAGTGGGAGTGCAGCTTTCAGACGACGGAGCAAGCAACGGGGCAAACGTACTTCATCTCGATGAAGTCAAGGCAGTACCTGCCCAAGTTGAAGAAGCTGTGTGAAGAGACCTTGCAGTGCAAGTAAGTTGCTGCCCTGCTCTCTCGTCTTTGACCCTCTGAGAACCTTCCAGGAACAGCAACCCTTGTTCCTCTGCGGCGATTGTGCCGCTGAATCTCCTTCTGGTGCTGGTGAAGCGTCTTACTGCCATGTCATGTCTCAAGACTGAAGTGTGATTGTTTCAGGCAAGCTGCATGTTTACGTACACATGGACGCTCCTCCGCTTCCGATCTTAGCACTGGTTGACAGGACGCTCCTCCGCTTCCGATCTTAGAACTGATTGACAAGTCGCATAAAAAAATCTTTCCGCGCTCTTGATGTCCTGGGGAATATGAATTGCTCAGCTATAGCGGCTTTGACCTCTCATTGTCTGCTTTACAGCTCTTTTTCTCCTTTACAGCTCGTAAGGTCCACCTCAATCACGGCTGAATCTTTGCAGGTGAGACGATTTGAGACATGAAGGCAGGGAAAGGGGAAAGGGGATAACCAATATTGACTTGTGGAGGGTGAGATTGAGCGGCTGCAATGCATGGAATGCTGGGACAAGCATCAAGACAGGAAACTCTTCACGAATTCAGAGGTTCTTCAGAAGTCTCCTTCTGCTATCTGATAGCGCCCTCGTCCTTGACAAGTGCAATCCAGCACTACTTGGCTAAGGTATCAGTCAACATTCACACCCTTCTTTCGCTTTTTAGAACATTTATTCTAGCTTTCACCATTAGTGCTTGATGATTACAATATCTGACTTCATACCTGCACATTCAAATCCTTCCTTCCTCGCCCCTGCTGCTTCTACATTCCCCGATACCTTCCTCGCTCGCTTCACGCTCTCCAGCAAGAAGCTTCCCCCTAGCGGCCGCGCTCCTCTCCCCTCCACCAGTCCTCGGCAAGGCTTAGCCTGGGCGTCGGGGGAGGCGGGGAGGAGGGAGGTGCTGTCCTCGGTCTGCTCTAGGTAGTCCTGCTGGGATCGCGATAGCCGGAAGGACCTGGTGGCGGGGGAGAGAGTGGGCTTGAGGTCGTCGGAGAAGCGGATGGAGCGGGGAGGGGAGGGGAAGGGAAGAGGAGGGTTCATGTTCAGAAGTCTGCGGTTGTAAGGAGTGGGTTCAGGTTGCGAGGTGCCAGGCGTAGATCTTCGAGGATGTAACTTGCAATCACAGATCGGATCAGAGCAGAGGAGGAGAAGGAACAGAGCTGGCAGTGAAGGGGGAGGACGTAACAGCGCGTGGGTACAGGACAGGGACGAGGGATGAAGGAGTTAGAGTCTCGAGATATCGACGGATGGCATCCATACCGCGACTCGGAGAGTTTCTGAGCAAGGAGTCGGTACCACCAGGGGTGGTATTATGGTAGAAAATAGGGGTAAGTGTGGGACAAGGTGGGGTGGGGTAGCTGGGACTTGAGAGTGCGTTTTACCTCCTTCAAGGACATGCCCCATGACTGGTCATCCGGACCGTGACCTTCAGCGTGACAAGATAAGTATGGAGAATCAACCATTGCGTTATCACAATGATTCGTCACCGGGACCGAAATGTATCGGGACAAACTCTGTCCTTCCCGTGACAGGCAATGCGACTACAAGTCATCCAGTGCCCACGGACTCCATGTTGATGATCCGGTCCTCCGCCGATGCCTGTCATCTCACCATGTTTACTGTCATCTTTACATCTTGCAGCATGACTTTTGCCGTGACAGCAAATTGCCTTCTTGGGGGGTTGACAGCCCGGGCGATTCTTCGATTGAGCCATTAGAGTAAATCGTAAAGGGTCAGTGGTGGGGCGGGGGAGGGGGGAACGAATCTTTGAGACTCTTTCGCGGTGTTGACGTCGAAACGACTCAATTTCGAGCTGCCTTGACACCATCAGGCTACAATCCGTTCCTCACTGCTCGCCCCTACTCACTTACACTTCGCAGCGCCGTCAGCCATGCACCGTCCTCCTCTCATTCCCTCCCCTCCCCTCTCCATCCGCTTCTCCGACGACCTCAAGCCCACTCTCTCCCCCGCCACCAGGTCCTTCCGGCTTTCGCGATCCCAGCAGGACTACCTAGAGCAGACCGAGGACAGCACCTCCCTCCTCCCCGCCTCCCCCGACGCCCAGGCTAAGCCCTGCCAAGGATTGGTCGAGGGGAGAGGAGCGCAGCCGCTAGGGGGAAGCTTCTTGCTGGAGAGCGTGAAGCGAGCGGGGAAGGTATCGGGGAATGTAGAAGCAGCAGGGGAGGGGAAGGAAGGATGTAGATCAGTATGAAAGATGTATTGTAAATCGGCAATGAGTTTGTTCTTAATTGTGCACGCACGGTCACACACAAACGAGTCTATTTGCACACTGAGGCAGTTGTCTTGGCTCACATAGATCTGCAAGAGCAGTGTCGACTCGACTGACTTCGTCGTTCCTCTCCCGATGGTGACCAACGTGGTCCAAGATGCAAGGGTCTAGATTCACGAAGAACTTCGCTGCAGTACCCCCGAGGCTTTCTTAGTCGCTGGTTTCGTCAGAAATTGCTCAAAGTAGCTGATCATTCAATCCCACATGCACAACAATCCAGATGAAGACTCGTGGATGCACAGAGAACGAGGAAATCATATTCAACAAGCTTGTTCAGTCCGCTTGTGTTGGAAATGCTGACATCATCTAAACATGTCTTATTCCATGTAGTTCCATGGTGAACGCATGATGTTGTATTGATGCGAATGGTGGCAAATGGTTATCTGCCGGGTGATTCTCTCATTTATTCAAAGTACTTTTCTATTGGCAGCCCATTCTTAGGCGGCAAAAACGTTGGGTTTCAGCTCCAACCTCCACAACCATGAGCACTCTTCTCTTGACCAGTGCAATGTCTTGATCCTCCATTCCTTCTTCGCCTTGAGTTCTCTTGCATCAGTCTGAATCGAAGAGGCCGTCCAGCCTGTCACAACCTTGAGATGCAACAACAGCCACTCTACACTGTCTTGCAGCCGGTTGCTTCGATGCAACCTTCAAGAGCGCCTTCTGCGATCTTCGGTACCATGCATAGACTAACACCCAGATTCTTAGGCACGAGACGTGAGATGATGTCTGAAAGTTGACTTGAATAAACGGGATGTTTCCTGTTCTTCATCTCCGCTCCTCCTCTGGTTCGCGTCCTGCTTGCTATACTTGCACGAAGAGGTCCCGCGAAGGTACCATCTCTTCTGTTTCTGTCCTTCTCCCGAGTGTAGAAGCTCAAGACTGCAGCAAGTCTGTGATTCTGCTCTTCAACTCGCACAGGAATCAGGTTGGACATACAGGACATCAGGATCTCCTGGAAGCTATCGTTGCTTGTCACCGAAGCAAGAATCTGGTCGACAGTTCTCTGCTCATGCTTATTCCCATAATGAAACGCGATGTTGATAAGAAGATCCTGAGGAGGAGACCAGCTACTGATCATCATGACCGATGCCCCAAACGACTCCAGCAGATTGCCGTCTCGCTGGTACGCATCCATGCTCACAGGATCACTCCCAATTGCTGCCTCTTCATGGATCTGCTGTAAGACCTGAAGCGCTGACAGTCCGGAAAGAGGTCGTCCTCCTCCCGCACAAACTACGCATGTTCAATCCCAGCTCGTCTGCGGTAATTCCAACGATAGAATCTCTACTGCCTCGGGATGGTCTCGTTCCTTTCCACACATTCAAATGTGCAAAACCCTTGGAGATGGGCAAGTGAGAGATAGGCTGATGCGCAGCAACCTGAAACATGCAATAGACCGACTCGTCCCTCAAGTTCGGTTTTTGCCTGTGCATTCTGATGTTGTTCACAAGGATATTCGACACGCTTTGAATGCATTTGGATTGTTCGACCTCACTAATTCCCTTCACTTGGTCCAAAACAGTGAACAGAGCCATGGATTGACGTTGTCAAGCAGCTCAGAAATCTGTGATTCTCCGAAAATTCTTTTCAATATTTCCTCTTCGTTTCTTGAACGCAGAACGTATCGAGGAAGAGGACGATGTGTAAAGCAATACACTCTTCGATTCTCATCCCGACTATAGTCAGATTTCCTTGAGATCTTATTGAAGTTCATGACCAGAGTATTCGTCCCCATGGCGATGGAAGCCTCGGATGATAGATCGCGATTGTTCTCAGTATGCTGTTTGCTCCTGACAAACCAAATAATGCATAACAGAGGGAAATTATTTCTCCATCGATTATCTGTCCTTGTATTCTCTAATTATGCCATTTGAGAGTAACAAACAGCGACGTAGGCTATTACTGAACCTTGGAGTATGGCCGCTGGGATGTTTGTTCGAAGCAATTCACAAAGTTAATCAGGAAACAACGAACTGACTTCCATGATCATGGCGAAATATCGAAAATCGTTCATATGGCGAAATACTAGTCGAGACTCTCAATCGTCACGAGTCAGTTGCACCGGCGACGTACTGTAGTTGTCAAGTACTTGTATTTCAAGTTCAAAGGAAACATCATCCTGCGACTTGGTGCAGATGCGCCTGTGTTCTGATTTTTCTCCTTAACTTCTTCATGACAAAAATGTATTCCATTTCACCTCAATTGCCCCGGAGTCTGCGGGAACTGTAGTTGGAGTCTACACTGATTGATCCAAGTGTAGACTCGAAGACGAAACTTCCGATGCCTGACGAGCGGCCCAGCGATGAAGAGAGATAGAGGAGTAAGATAAGGGAGGAAGGTGCCGCGAGGGTGCCCCCTGGAACATCCGTGACTTCATTCACGCCAACTCGTCGCTCTAGGCTCACTATGTCCTAAGTTCAACGGTTGGCAGCCTACTCACGGTAGCGGCAGAAGCCGCAGCGCCGAGCCGAGCGGCGGGGCTGTGGACTGACAGTGAGCCGAGCGTATCATCACGATGTTGGCAGCCTCCGTGCTGCACTGCGGTCACAATCGGAGTCTGACTAACAGATTCAAACTCTCAGTGACGGGCTGAGAATCGTCGTTGAGTTGAAACTGTCGGAAAAGTGAGAGCTCACCTCAGATTGGAACTCCGGCCCGATGAGAGTCCCGGAAGTTCCGAGCCCGGTACCCAAGGTAGGGGACACTTGAACAGCACTCAACTTAGCCGTCTCCGACAACGTCCGGCGGGATCGGCGGCCGCGTGCGGCCGGGCCCCGGGACCACCACTGTCGGATGCCGTGTCGGATCCAGCCGTGGGCCAGCCGCCGGGATCCTGCCCGCCGGGATCAGTCCAGGCCGGGATCACTGATCATCAGTACTATGAGAGGGGATGTGGGATCCCATAAAACATTAGTTAATATTCATGGGCGCGTGGGAGATGCATCGAGGGTGGTGGGGGTGATATAAGTACCGGTACTCAATATTTTTTACCGCCTTGGAAAGTCGATTATCATATTTTGTTAGTTTTTGCATTGAATAATGCGGGCTTACATAGAGCATTTCGAATCTGCAAGCAGTCTTGAGGGGTGGGGGTACAATGGTGCTGGATTATGTGGGGGTTAGGTGGCTGCGGGAGAGGCGCGGGATGGTATCAAAGCATACAAGGGGAAGGGAACGGAAGGAGGAGGAGGAGGAGGAGGAGGAGGAGGAGGAGGAGGTGATCAGGAGGAAGAGCGAGAAGGGAGAGTAACTTCGTGTTGGTGTAAGAGGAAGGAGAGAAGAACAAGGCAGATGGGAGTACGGAGAAGGGAATGAAGCAGGGTTTGAGATCGAACTTATCTTTTCAGAGATGACACCTGTAACATAGCAAAAACTCTTGAGATGAACTTTGAAATGACAATGGTATGATGTAATGTAATCTGTCGTAATTTGTAGCAAGGGGAAAGCGTTGTGAACATGGCGCATAGATTTTCGAATTCGGGAGGATCGCAGTGGTTAGACATTGGAGAATGAATGCCAATTGTTGATCGAATGAGAAGTGAGATTACGGTATGAATAGACAAGAAGACAAGCGGCCTGCAGGGAAAGAATTTCCATTCACCACAATCCAACGATTCGCGAGGAGTTCTCTCTCCGTGCTAATTTTGTTTTGCAGGGATTGACCAAGATGTCGGAGGATTCAAAGGTGATGTCTACGGACAACAACGGGGAGCTCTCGCTCTCGATCGAGCAAACGAATGCTCTTCGTGCTCAGCTTGGACTGAAGCCGTTGGACGTGCAAACTGAGGGAGAGGGGAAGGAAGTCGAGGAGAAGCTCGGGTCGAGCAAGCGGCCCATCAGCTACATGGAGATGATGCAGGAGGAGGAAGAGAAGAAGAAGTCCAAAGAGCTGCAGGAGAAGATAGCAGAGATGAAGAACGCGAGGATAGTTGCATCCAAGGTCATGGCAAAGAAGGGCCTCGGGGAGGCGAGCGACGATGAGGATGACCTTGACAACGCTGCCAAGTGGGTGCAGAGGAGCAGGAAGAAGGAAGTAGACGTTAAGGCGCGTCTAGCCAGACAGCTGGAGGAGCAAGACGACATGGCGGAAGAGCTGAGCAAGGAGGACTCCAAGTACAACTCGAAGCAGCTGGCCGGGATGAAGCTCGCGCACGAGTTTGACGACTTCCAGGCGGGAGAGGAGACTATCCTTACCCTAGCAGACTCTCGCGTGCTGCGGGAGGGGAGGGGGTTTCGGTCGGCTGAGATCAACGAAGAGGAGGACGAGCTGGAGAACGTCAACCTGTCCGAGTTCCAGAAAACTCAGAAGGCTAAAGAGCGAGCATTGCGGAAGAAGAAGTACGATGCGACGGATGAGACTGAGTTTGTCAGCTCGGCTCCAGCTGAGAAGAAGATCCTTTCCCAGTATGACGACTTTGAGTACGATGGGTCGAGGGTAGGAGGCGAGGAGAAGAAAGGAATGCGGTTGGGAGAGGATGGAAGCTTCGACAGGGTGAAGGCAGAGCAGCAGGCGACAGTCAGGGCGAAGCTGCAAGCAGCAGCAGCAGGCAAGAAGCTCGAGAGCCTGACTTCGGAGTACAAGTTCGCGTCAGACTTCGCGACAGTGGAGGAGGAGAAGTTCAAGAAGTCGTCAGGAAAGGTGAGAAAGCTGAGAAGGAAGCCGAAGGAGAAGCTCGATCTCAAGCCCATCGAGGACGGTGGGGACAAGGGATCCCGAAGCGAAGGCAACCAGACGAAACGAGAGAGAGACGAGCAGGAGGAGAAGAGGAAGCGAGCCGAAGGCTTCGAGCGAGCGATGCGGAGAGCAACAGAAGCCTCCGAGGCGATGCGAGCACAGGATGAGGCGTACAAGGCTGGGGACATGGAGATCGACGAGGATAATTTCCTCGAGGAGGACGACAAGGACCTGACGCTGTCGCTGGCGAGGGCAAGAAAGGCGATCCACGACAAGAAGAAGATGCAGGCGTTGGATGCGAAGAACCTGCTGCAAGGTCACGTACAGATCAAAGAGGAGGCGGAGGAGGAGGAGAAAGGCAACGACATGGTTTTCAGCATCACGACAGAGTTCTGCCGCAACCTGCAGGGCCAGGACGTGAAGCCGAACAGGAACGCGCTGAAGAACGCGAAGAACTACGTGCACGAGACGGAGGAGACTGACTTGACATCATCCAAGCAGGACAAGGGAGGGACATGGAAGAGCAAGGAGGTTGATATCGACATCAAGATGGAGGCAGAGGATGAGGAGATGGAGGACGATGGTGCTGCGTACAAGGAGGAGCAGGAGGCGGCGGTGAAGGTGAAGCAGGAGAGGATGACGGCCGGAGGAGCGCTGGACAACGAGGCGCTGGCGTCTCGGTCGGTCTCGGAAGCCCTCAAGATCATGAGGGAGAAGGGGATGAAGAAAGAGCAGTTGGCTGGCAGGACGCGAGACGAGCGGCCGGATGAGAGCACGCCGCACTGGGCTGACAAGGTGCACGGAGAGCAGCTGAAGCAGATGGGAGTGAAGGACAAGGAGAAGAAGGAGATCGTGATCACGCGCCTGGACGAGTTTGGAAGGCCCATGACGATCAAGGAGGCCTGGAGGCAGCTGAACCATCACTTCCACGGGAAGAAACCGGGGGCCAAGAAGACGGAGAAGAGGAAGAGGCAGTTCGAGGAGGAGATGAAGATGAAGAAGATGAACTCTGGGGAGGCGAGCGTGGAGCAGATGAAGAAAGTTCACAACCTGCAGGCCAAGACAGGACAGGCTCACATGGTGGTGTCTGGAGGAGCCTCGTCCTCTGTCCTCTCCACTGCTGCTCATCTTCGCAAGTGAGAGGAGAAAGCGTTGAGGAGCGGAGGGCTCAGTAACCAGCAAGATTGTGAGATTATGATCAAAGAGAAAAGAGCATGCCCCTCCCCTCCTCTTCATCTCCTCTCATCTTCGTCTACTTCATTATCATAATCAAACCCCTCTCTCTCTCTCCTCTCCTTCCTCTTGCCATCATGGCGTCGCTCGTCGATACAGCATCGGGCCCGGTGGCTGATTAGCCAGTCAAGAAGTCTCCTCCTCCTCCTCCTCCTCCTCCTCTCACCTGGTGAAACCTTCTCTCCTCAACCCCAGCAGGATGTCGATCTGCTGGCATCTCCACACCTGAAACCCTTCAGATCCTCCTCTTCCTCAGCCAACACCCAGCCCTCATCGTTCCCGTCCCTTCCTCACCTCCGAAGGGCTTGTCCGAGGTGACTCGGTCCAGCCAGAGGCGCAGGCCGTAGCTGAGAGGAGGAAGGTGCTGCCTCAGGGGCGGCTCAGCAGCAGGGGGGAGCGAAACAGCTCGAGGAGGCAGCATGGGAGGCGCCAGGGAGGGCGGAGCGAAACTTGGAAGGACGTCAGGGTAGAACACTCCGTCGAGGATGATGCCGTTGGGTGGTGCTGGCAACCTGGATCAGCACAGAGAGAGGAGCAAGGAGCTAGACTGAAGAGGGAGGGAGGGAGGGAGGGAGGGAGGGAGGGAGGGAGGGAGGGAGGAGAGGAGAGATGGAGATACTGAGAGGATGCGCAGGAGGACAGAGCCGGGAGAAAGGAGAGGAAGGGGCACCTGGTAAAGGCTGGGTCTTGCTTGACGCTCCAGTATCATGCTCCTGCTGTCTCTTGCTGCTGAGTTGCTTCAGGGAACCTGTCAACGCCTCCACTCCTACGGACAGTCAGTGAAGTCCGGCTCCCGCTCCCGCTCCCCCTCCTCTTCCTTACACATCTCCCCCCCGCCCTCTCATCCTCCTCCCGTTCTCTGAGTTTTTACCGTTTCGAAGCTGCTCAGCGATGGCGAGGGCCTCGCTGACTTGCTGAATATCAACTTGTGAGGCCGGGAAGGAACAAGAAGAGCAGCCAAAGAGCGAAAGAAGTGGGGAGGGGAGGGGAGAGAAGAGGAAGTGAGAAGTGGCAGAAGGCGAAGAAAGGGAGGGAAAGAATGGTCCATCACTCACCTTGGCAATCTTCTCTTCATCCTCCTGCTCCTCGCGCAAGAGCGATCTGCACCATCCCATCCTCACCTGACGGCAACCGCAAGCTCCTCCGTCCTCACCTCAGCTCTCCTTCAACTTCGTCCATCCTCCTGCTGATCTCCGCAACCTCCTCTGCACTCAGGTCGTCCTTGTGCGCTGCTTCACGGGCAGCGGGAGCGCTCTCGGTGCCCAGGTGGTAGTGGATGATGAAGGGAGCGCTCTTTTGTGGCTCCATTCCTTCCTCCACCTCCTTCCTCCTCTCTTCGTATCCCAGGGGATGAGGATGCTGCCAAGCTGCCGGTTGCTGCATTGCGGGAGGCACAGGGAAGGGAGGGTAAGCGTAGGAAGAGGAGGGGGGGTGAGGATAGGGAGGGTGACGGTAGGAGTACGAGGAGGGAGAGGAGGACGGCGGGAAGGGAAGCCCTGTAGGAGCGTATCCTCGATTCATGGCTTCTATTCGCTAAGTCGAGATACAAACAAGGGCTCGCATACAAGGGGATAAGGTGAGGAGATCCTGCTGAGGGAGCAAGAGTCAGTTCAACAAGAAAAGCGCAAGACACTACATGCTCCGACTTGTCGAGACTCTTTCTCTTGTCATTGAGAGAGACAAGAGGGAAACGCAACTAGATCCTCCATGTCATGATACCGTAGCAGATTTTCATATCCGTCTCCGCATTCTCTCTCTCTCTTTCCCCTTATCTCTTCCATCTACTTGATCTATGCTCTTGCATCTCGGCCATGCATGGCTCCTCTTTGAACTTTCTCCCTCGCTGCCTGCCATCCGCTGGCTCAACCGCAAACATGGAATCGTTGCGGACATGTCACCTGCATCGCTAGCACCCTTGACTTCAACAACATGCCTTCACCTGATCATCATCGTTCTCTTCTGAACCATCTTTTCCTCCTTGTTTGTAGTTTCCTCCTCCTCTTGCTCTTTTCCTCTCCTCTCTCCTCATTGCTCCGGCGTCGTTTCCAGTCCTCAGTTTTTGAATTGGCGTGGAACTTCCCAAAGGCCCCTCGTCCCCGCTTCCTCCCCCCTCAAGACAGGCTCCGCCCTCTGCTCCGCCCGGCCCTGGGCTCCGCCAGAGGCTCCGCACTGCAGCCTGGCAGGTTCCGAGTCAGTGCCACGGTGTGCCGCACTGCTACCGCGGCAGGCCCGGGCCGCCGCCGCCGCCGCCGCGGCGCCCTGCCGCTGCGCGGCCGGCCCCTGTGACGTGACTGAGTCAGGGGCGGCACCCGGTGCCCGGAGGGCCCCCCGGAACTCAAAGACTCGTGACTCAGGTTAGTACCGCCCATTGGGCCCCGGCGGCTCGGAACTTCCGAAGCCCAGGCCGCTGCGGCGCGGCGGCCGCGGCCGCGCCGGCTACGGCTACCGGACGGTACCGTCCGGCGACGGTACCGTACCGTCCGGCGGTGACGGCCGGGTACCGTAGCCCGGCCCCCGGCGGTACGGGTACACGGTACGGTACACAAAGCCGGGCCGGCTCAGTGTGACGGTCCGACGGTCCGAGTCGGACTGTAGTACGGTCCGTCGCGGCTGACCGTACTCTGTACTCAAAGTACTATACTGAATGTCTTGATGGAAGAATACGAGCGAGTCACAAGATTGAGAGGACTGGATGCGATAGAGGGACGATTCTTGAGTTATCATGGATGACTGTATCTGACCTCATGAGGCCTTCGAAGCAGGCCGCATGGATATCGCAGTCAGCTTCAAGAAAACGTAAACGGAATGAGAGATTAGCATAGGAAGGGTGTGTGAAATGAATGAAATTTTCATGGTGTTAAAAAGCAAAATCTCGAGCCGGCGGAATGCTCCTAACTGCTCCTATGCTGATCTGGCCGGGCGGCATTACTTGCTCCCCTTTCGAACCTTTTCACTGATCAGATCAATCATGGCCATAAAGAATGTATGTCAGGCTGTTGTATGCTACGGTGACCGTATTGAAAGTACATAATGTATCATCACTGAGTGTTGAAGTTACTTGCAAAGTAGGGAATTCAGGCTTTACACTGAGCTCGCGATCTTGTATTGAAGACACAAGTATCATAAGTATATTACAGATATCATCCAAACAAATGTCACCTTCCAAGTTCCAGTACATGACGTGATGCAATGACTGAGCATCTTGTTATCTACATGCCATGGTGATGCCAGAGCAGCATTTTCGCTGAGTCCCAATTAGGAAAACTTGAGTAAATATTTACTCAATCATATAGGACTCTCTAACCTCCGTAGGTCCCGCGAAAGGGGAGCAAGTAATGCCGCCCGGCCAGATCAGCATAGGAGCAGTTACTACTAGTTAGGAGCATTCCGCCGGCTTTGAAACACCATGAAAATTTCATACACTTCACACACCCTTCCTATGTTCATCTCTCATTCCGTTTACGTTTTCTTGAGTAAAACCAGAGTCGCAGATGCCAAATGCGGCGCGTGCTGCCGTGCTGTTGCTGGCGCTCGCGCGGACGACGATGAGCGTCGGGAGGCTACTTTCTCCTAGCCCATCGCCTTGCTCCTCCGTGTCTTCCAGCTCGAAGTGGGTCTCTTCATGTCCCAGCACGGCAAAATATTCAGCTGGTGCTCTCTTGGGCTGGACTGATGGTCTGGTCAAGCGCACGAGAGGAGGATATGGAGGATCAAAGACTAGGACCGATCAGGTCGAGCAACAGCTAGAGGAAGTACAACAAGAGATCAAAGAAGTACAACAAAAGATGAAGGAGGTACAACGAGATATCAAACAGGTAGCTCCAGGCGTACAACGAGAGATCAAGAAGGTACAACGAGAGATGAAGGAGGTGCTGAAAAATATCGATCACGAACAGGACTCAATGATGAAGGCGGTCCATGTCAAGGTATATGAAAGGCTTGGAGACAGAGTGAAGCAGCTTGGAGACAGAGTGAAGCAGCTTGGAGACAGAGAGAAACACCTTGGAGAGCGAGAGATACAGCTTGGAGATAGGTTGAAGGAGCTTAACAAAGAAAGGCTTCATCTCCAGAGACAGAGCGGGGTATCTAGTAAGCCTAGGGTTATTTGGATCGAGTCAGAGGCAGGACTGGACCGGATAGGCTTTTGCCATGGCAAGAAGTACTTTCGTCTCGATGCATCATACTTGCAAGGAGACGGAGAGATACTCCTTTACTGCCGGGAATCCTTCCACGTGCAGCAGCGTTTCTTGAAAGACAAGGTAGTGGACAATCGGGCATTGGGCTGGATTCAAGGTCCCCCGGGGACTGGGAAGACGACGACGACGCTAGCCTTCTGTTTATCGCTTTGCATGAAGAAGTGGAGCATAACTTTCTTCCAGCTCGATTCAGTTGACTTGATTGAGTGCATTCAGATCGTAGGCAGTAAGAGAAGGTCGTGCACGATACCAGTGGAATGCACGCTGAAATGGACCAATGAAATACTACAAGAATGGCCGGACAGCGAGAAGCGTCTTGTCATCATCGACGGCTACTTGAGGCACGAATCACATCATGTCCACTGCTATCGAGCGTGTACGAGATGGCTCCTAGGTGATAGAGAGAATCGGCGGGTAGTAGTTGTGACGTCGATGTCATGTGGGGGAAAGGTACGGGATAAGCACGAAAACGTCGTAAATCTGAGGCGGCACACCGTTGTATCATGGACGGCTGGTGAGTACCTGGATGCAGTGAAGTGTGACGATTTTTACATGAGAGTTAAGCCCATGCTATCGTTGCATGACAGTGCAGTGCACAATGGTATGAGGATACAGAAGCGGAATGGTACGAAAGAAGAGCAGATTATGTCGAAGTATTACCTGGCTGGTGGCTCGTGTCGGTACATGTTTGAGAAGACAGCAGCGGTGGTGGTTGAGAGGCTGGAAGTGGCTATTTCATCATGTCGAAACCTAGAACTTCTGTTCCAGGGTAACGTCGGCGACTCTTCGCCGCATGCTGTAAATCACTTGACTGCGAGGTACATGCATGACGGACAAGCGTGCTGGATGCCTGTCAGCAAGTACGTCGCCACGAGGCTTGCGGACGAAGCGAAAGTGGACGTTTTGAAGAGGCTGTTGGATGGGGAGTGCAATCCGAGCTTGCGGGGCTACCTTTTCGAGCTTTTATTCTTCAAGAAGGTGAAGCAAGGGCTGACCCTGACCTATCGCAAGCACGAGTCACGATGGGAAGGATGTCCAGTGTTTCTGTTGGACACGATGGGAGTCATAAATGATCTTCTTAAAGATAGAACATGCTTGAAACCAATTAGCGTGTTTCAACCAGGCTTTGATGCTATCATTGTGGACGTGCGTGCGAAGTTGGTCGAGTTTGTGATGGTGACAGTTTCATCATCGCACTCATTCAAGCTCTCTCCCTTGGCAAAAGCTCTCAAGAAGCTCAACATTCCAACCAAGGGATGGAAAGTCAAAGTAGTGTTCATCGTCCCGCCAGAAAGGCTTCAGGATTTTCGGATCGACCCAATCAAACACTGCGGAGCGCTAAAGGAGTACGGATGGAAGAAGGGGCAGGAGGGGAAGCAGGCAGATGTAGCGAGCATTGATATCTTGTGAACTCCTCTCATCACAGGAAGCAGTTGCTTGGAGGAGAGGCGAAGGTCCGACACGGGGCGGCAGAGCTGCAGCAGTGTACAAGCAGGAGTTGAGAAGACTGTGATAGCTTGCACTCCCTGAGAAGATTGCCGTGAAGTATACTTGCAGGCCAATGAACATGCATTAGTTACATAGCGCAAGATGCATCACTCATGCATCACCATGCGTCACTTACAATGCTGCAAGCTGAAGTTCCTGCTGCTTGACCAGCTAAGAAGCATTTGCTCTTGAATTGTGGTTCAAGAGGAGTCCCAGTGTGGTTACCTTAGGACTTCAAGAAAAAACCAAAACAATCACGTTTGTTCCTCACTTCATGCTCTGTGAGAGATTTTCAGTCCCGAGTTCAGTATTCGCCAAAATTAAACTTGACGATCTGGACATCAAGTTTAATCTTGGCGAATACTGAGTACAAATGGCATGACAAGGGAACCTTGCCTGTTGTCATTTATTCGTGTTGGGTACATTCCCGAAAAGATTCAATGTTCGCATCAATCCTCTGAAGTCACTGCTCAATGTTTTCACCGCCTCCATGCTCATTGTAACCCCGTAATTCTTGAGTATGTGCGTCAATCCCGACTTGTACGACGAGCATGTTTGGAATGTTAATGCTGACAGTCGGAATTGATGCAAATGCTCAAGAACGACCCCATCTGGCAGGGGATCTTGTCTCCAGACTCGTCCACGAACAAAAGGACATGTTTCGGGAAGACACTCTGCATCAACATGCCAAGCTCTGCAACCTTCCTCATATCCACTGCGGATATTGCGAGGATGCTTTGAGCGCAAACAGGCGAAGGGTTGCCTTCACGATGGAAGCCTTCGCAGATGACGATGACGACACAGATGACGATTACGATAGACCTTTCTTTCTTCCCTCCATGGTTTCAAAGAAACGATCGACAGCGTTCCGTTTATGAATGTAGTTATCCATTCTCATGATGCCCCATTTCGTTTTGCTGTAACTTTCATGGATGTATAAGCCATCAAACATACCCAAAAACGCGGTAAGTGACTCTTCAGAAGAATCGAGGAGACATGTCTTCAACGAAAAGTGCGTCCTCATTTCTTCGATATCTCTGACGGATTTCTGCCATTGTTCAATCTTCCTCTGGCGCAATGAAATATGCGGGGGTATTTATGCGACTCAAAGTAGATTTTTTCTCGAGTGAATCGATATCTCTTGATCTGACTCGTATCTTGTGAATCAACAACCTCAATCCCGCATATCAAAACGGCTCGCCCTAGATCAATCCATATAAAACGATCACACAAAGAAACTCGCTTCCCTGACTTGTTGTATTTTTTATTGTGAACACACTAAGAAACTGTTCTTCTTTCATTACTGTTTTCGCTTTAAATGCCAGCCATTGATCTTCGATCCGATGCCAAATATTTCGTTTTTCTTTTTGTCTGAGAAAACATTGTTTGTTTCCCTCCAGAGCGTAATGTGCTTGATGTGACGTGCATTGACAATGAAATTCATATGCGTCGTGAAATTCGTTGCGTATTGGTTGGTGATGTACGTCAATGCTTGTCCGGCACCGTTAATACGGCTCAGTTCCAAGGTGTACAAGTCCTTCTTTGATTCCCAGAACTCACTCAAAATGTTGAAATTTGTTGTTTTTCTACCATGATCAACCTTTATACCTAACAAAAAACAGCAACAAATAAACAAATCGTGTTTGTTTGACTTGATTGCATTCAATTGAGAGAAGAACTCTGATAATCGATCTCTTTCAGGCTGTTCAGAGTCCCTTTCAAAGCAACATATCAGAAATTTGTTGAATATGAGGCTACCACGATACGAGATCTTGGCGATGTGATCGACCCCTTTGTCAATGACAGGTATCAATGGTTTCTCCTTGACATGTTTCTTGAGACAACATTTTACTGTCTGATCTCTGGTGAACTCGCAACCTGTTGTTCTCTTTCGTGGCATTATGCGGCGTAATGTTGAATATTCATGCAACCCTAGCAACAAACAGAGGAGGGAAGAAGATAGAGAGTGGGACAGGAAGGGATGAAGCATATTTAGGACACCCGCAAACCTCAGTCTTGGCGGCATTTCGATGAAGATGGAGGATACAGGAGGGGGAGGGAAAGCCACAAACTTGTTTTTTTCATGAATGAAGTCCCTTTATATGTCCTTTATTGACTGAAAAAGGAAAGGCAAACCCGGAGCAATTAGGGAGGAAAACTTCAACCGGGAGAAACGGGGGCCTACAAATCTGCCTCAAGAAAAAACACCACTGCCCAGGAAACGGAGGAGGCACTGCCGAAAACTTGCCAACCGCTACTCCAACGGCGTTTGAACCACGCAAGCCGCTGAGCGACGGCCGGCCGGCCCGGCATGCACGACAAGCACAGCGGGACGCACTGTAGCGCAAGGCTCCTGCGAGGCCCGAGTACGGCAACTTGACCCATGCGAGAGCGATACTGCCGAAACTTTCATTGTGAACGGTACGGTACTATGATGTGACTGAGAGCGCGGCCGGCCGCGGGGGGCCGCAGGCAGCGCCCGGCCGGGTACTATGGTATTCCGGGCCAGCCGGAGACCGTACCATATGGTACGGTGGCCCAGTGGATGATACTCAGGGGCTGTCGGAACTTGACGCCGTTCCCGGGACCGTCCGGCGGACCGTGACTCTCAGCGACTCCTGCTAGCCTGCCGGCCGCGCCGCGCGGCGCGGCGGCGCCGGGGGGGCATGCCTGGCATGTCATCCGATGATCTCAGAGTCGGAGAGTCCGACTGAGTCGGGGAGTCCGGGCCCGGGCCCGGTCCGAGACGGTAACGCCCGGCCGCGCCCCCGGCCCCCCGGGCCGGCGCTCTCAGAGTCTGCCGGCTCTCCGAGTCCGATCGGCCTCCGACGACGCGTTCACTCAGACTCTCGACACTGTTACAGTACGGTCACGGTTTCCATTCCAAGTTCCGACAGTTTGTTTGTTCCGAAGTTCCGGTGGCCATGGTGCCCGGTGCGGCCACCGTCACCACGGCGACTCAGTGATCGGACGGACCGGCGTTCACGGTTCGACCCGGCCGGCGGCCCGGCTACTTCTGTCGGATTTTTTTTTGGATCCTTCAGATTTCAAATCAATGATCAATAACTCAAGGCATCAAACATTTTCAAATACGAGCAACCCCATTTGTATCCAGTTTTGCCTAGCAACAATCTGAAGCGTTGTCTTTTCACCCGTGTCGCTGGCCAGTCAAAACTTTTACCTGGCAACAATTCAAACCGTTGTGGTTGAGAGTGCTATATCTGTACCGAGTTTTGCCTAGCAACAATGAGAAACGATGCATGTTTTGATAGCCCGCCTCAGTTGCACGATGGTTTGTATCCACTTTTGTCCAGCAACAAAGCGAATCGACTCAGTTTTGTTGTGCAAAAAGGTACGGGTGGTTTCCCCGCTCTATTGCTGGAAAAGAGAGGGTCTATAATTCGAGGGGTATGATCAGCTGTTGCCAGGAACTGGGGTCTAGCAACAATACCAAACGACGGGGTTTACACCCACAAAATGTACCCCAGGAACTAGAGTCTAGCAACAATACCAAACGATGGGGTCCTTGCATACCAATTGAGGGGTACAAGGATGCATCCAGGAACTAGAGTCTAGCAACAATACCAAACGACGGGGTCCTTGCATACCAATTGAGGGGTACAAGGATGCATCCAGGAACTAGAGTCTAGCAACAATACCAAACGACGGGGTCCTTGCATACCAATTGAGGGGTACAAGGATGCATCCAGGAACTAGAGTCTAGCAACAATACCAAACGACGGGGTCCTTGCATACCAATTGAGGGGTACAAGGATGCATCCAGGAACTAGAGTCTAGCAATAGAGTCTAGCAACAATACCAAACGACGGGGTCCGAGAACAAAGAGCACGGGTACGGGTCAATATAATCAGGGGAGTAGAGGGGAGTAGGGGGTTCCCCCTCCCCAAGGGTTATCAGGAACTAGAGTCTAGCAACAATACCAAACGACGGGGTCCGAGAACAAAGAGTACGGGTGTATCACTCGAATGTTAGAGGGGTCCATGGGGTCCCTTTCCCCACACAGACTAAAATAGCAAACGACAGGGTCTGAGTCGACAGGGTACGGGTATACTGAAAGGAAATCCAGGGGGTGTAGGGGGTTCCCCCTCCCCAAACGAACTAGAGTCTAGCAACAATACGAAACGATGGGGTCTTGGCAGTACATGTACCCGGCGATTCATCGTCTCAAATCGGGGTTGTCTTGATTCTTCCCCTGGGAACATACAGTCTAGCAACAATACGAACCGTTCCATCTTTTATTCCTTATCTAAGAGCGATTCGTATTGTTGCGGGGCTTAGGAATCGGGGGAAGCGACGAGCCAAATTTGGCTGTCACGAGGGACGACGAGTCATCAATCGAAGGGGTGAAAAGCATGGTCACGGGGTGTAACGAGTGGTCACATCGCAAATTGCCTGGCAACAATACGAAAAATTGCATGTTTCTGACAGGTAATCTGACTTTTGACTGCATGGTCTGAAGCAACAATACAGAGCGATGCGATTTGTTTTGATTTGTGGAATTGGGGGTGCACCGGCAAGAGTTTTGACTCTCAACTTTCCCGCAACAATCTGAAGCGTTGCATCTCTGAAAAGGCAGTCATGCGACATTTGACTCCAAATTTTTGAGCAACAATCCCAATGGTTGTGAGTTTCATCTTTTGACAGGAGCAACTCATATCTGCTATGAAAGTTCGCTGCCTTATGCTGTATTTATCAAATATCGCGAGGCGGGTCTGTTTATCCTCACCAATACCACCTTCATGTCTGGTGGTTGAGAGTTGTGACTGTGAGCCCTGACGCAACAATACGAACCATTGCGTGTTTCAAACATACCCCTGGAAGTAGACCTTTTCGTGGCAGATCCTGCCCAGGTCTCTTCAAAACCCATCGATTGGGATTGTTGCCCCATAGCTCTGACAGGCAAAACTCAGGGCAGCACATGGTTTCACATCGTTTCAGATTGTTGCCCTCCGGTTGACAGGCGAATCAACAACCCACTTATAAAATTATTGCAACGGTTTAGATTGGTCTCAAATCAAAAAAATTCGCATTGCTTCAGATTGTTGCCCCAGAATTGGCAGTCAAAAGTCCCATGTCTCAATTAAATTATTTTTAAAAAAATGGAGTACCATGTGCTGTGTTAATTTGATCATAAGCATACAGAGTTCAGTCAAATATATAGAAATTCTATACACTATATAATGTGTGATTCTAGCCATCTGTAAACAAACACTGTACCTGTTGTGATCACTTCGTACACTAATAATAATAATGTTTAAATATATAATACTATTTTTTAAAGGCATCAGACGAACTCGCAACTCTTGGTATTGTTGCGGTAAGTTTTGCAGTCAAAAGTTTGTGTGCATAATACCCAATGGTATGTGCGATAGATGAGACGATCGAAGTCTCCTACACGCGAGTTCAATGGAGCGACACTGATGCCCTGACACTGAGATGGTGTGATGGAGGTGTGATGTGCACGATAGAAGGAGGAGAGGAGATGGAGGGAAGAGCGGGGTTAGTAGGAAGAGAGGGGATACAAGGGTGGGAGGAGATGGAGGGAAGAGCGGGGTTAGTAGGAAGAGAGGGGATACAGGGGTGGGAGGAGATGGAGAGAAGAGCGGGGTTAGTAGGAAGAGAGGGGATACAGGGGTGGGAGGAGATGGAGGGCCTACTGAGATTGAAAGAGAAAAATCTGAGCAGATAACATGGCTATCATTGATGGAAGAGGATGAGCAGATAGTATCCCCATTGATGTTGCATAGTTGGGCGGACCCCTCTCGCGTAACAACCAAAAAATTATGGTGATAATCATCCTCATCAATGAAATTCACAATATTGCGAATTCAGATCATGATCATGGTGAGAAAATTCACATTAGGATGTTTGAAGAGGCAAGGAAAAGTCGTTGAGGTGGATTGCCCAGGAAAATACGATTCATGTGCTGTATCTAGTATCGGACGCTCAGTGTAAGATGGGACTTGGTAAAGGTAGAATCAAAACTTTTCTCCTCCTTGAAAATCAAGACAACACCTACATCGGATCTGAGATGCTGGCCTCCGCTACCCTTCTCCTGCAGTTCCCTTTCAACTTCAAGTCCTGATGCTGTCAGCCGACTCCTCTACCTGCATTCTGCTGTCAGAGGGTAACGAGCCCTTGCTGATCCTCTCACCGTTCTCGTCGCGAAGGGAAGGTCTCGAACGACACCCTGTATCCGTTCCCTTGTCTCTGTCTCCTGCTACAGGATGAGATCGCTGGCAAGGGAACATGTAGCGGGGTAGGAGCAGGGAGCAGGGAGCAGGAAAAGGAGGAGGAAGACAGAGGTCTACCCCGGCGAGCTCAGCAAAGATGCTGGAGTCTTCCACGTCTCGCCCTCCCTTGACGTACCCGAGGCAATGGACAACCTCGCCATCTGCATGCTGAATGAGCGAGCAGCTGCAAATAATCCTTTCTTTCCTCCCTCTGCTCTTCCCGCCTGTGTTACCTGGGGTGCGCAAGGGCTCCGGGAGGACGGACGTGATCGTCCCGATGGATCTTCCTTCCCCTTCCCTCTCCTTCACATGCTAGCTTCAGCCTTCTGCTCTGTCCTGACTCGCAAGCGCTCACCGCGAACAACTTGGCTCCCACCAGCGCTCTCGAGCTCTTTGCCCCTGACTTGTCTGCTGGGAACTGAATAGCCCAGAGGTTTTGCTTGACCCCGTCGTAAGTCTATGGATGATAACCACGTTACATCCAATCTCCTTTCCACTTCATCCCGCTCCTCTCTTCCCTCCTTCTCACTTTGAGTCGTGCCATGGACTCTTGTCCGATGTAACATCCTTTGTCTGCCAACAAAAGTTGAGAAAGAGCACGAAAGTCAGGGAGAAGACAAGGAGGTGAGAGGAGGAGAGACGGAGAGAGGAGGAGAGGAGGAGAGGAGGAGGGGTGAGAAGGAGCGGAAGAGGACGTTGAAGCACCGAACGATACAGTCGACCACAATCCAGCTTCCAGCGGATTGTATTCCAAGGTCAGCTCTGATCCGGCAGCGGGTACCTGTCGGGCAGGCTCAAATCCCTGTCAACGGCACTGACTCCTTCGTTACCCCGTCAACCATTCTCAGTACCTCCCAGCCCTCCTGCCCGACACGGAGGGGCCCGGGCTCCGCAACTGGGCGGAGAGACAGTCAGCCAGGGGTGGCGGAGGAGGGGTAGGGGGCGAAGCAGCAGCGAACCTTTCATGAACTCCTCCCATAGGACTCTCCCGTCTCCTGAAGCAGCGACGATCGTGTATCCAGGAACGGAGCAACCAGCGCCATGCAGGACGAGGCCGTTCATCGACTTGCCCTCCAACACCAGCGGGGAGGAACAGAAGGGCTCCGGGAGGGTGATACCCGGCATCTGGGACAAGAACTCCTCAGCCTTGGGGCCGACGAGGTGGAAGCGTGCAAGGCCCTCCGACACGTCCAGGCACTTGACCTTGTCCTTGGGGAAGATGAGAGCATCGAGGTCCTGAAAAAGCTGGAGAACGCGGTTGGGAGAGCAGAGGACTAGGAGGCTGTCCGACAAGACAGCAATGGTACACAGGTCAACCGTCCTTCCGACCTTGGACAGGAAGCAAGCCTGTCTGACGTCGCCAGGCCTGAGCCCGACTACTCTGTTGGTGCAGAGCCCGCTGAGAAACTTGTACCTGTCCTCTCCTGTCACCACAAGCGCCCCCCAGTGCGAAAGATCAGCTAGAAGAACGCCGGAGGAGGAAGCTGCGATGACCTCGGCCTGCGGAAGTAGAGAGAACTTGGACACAACGTCCACCACTCGATCGCGCCCTTTCTTCATGAACTTCATGAGAGGCTCTGGGGCTGGATAAGTTGCAGGCACCACCTCCGCCCCGAACTTCAGCTGCAGCTCCCGCAGCTCCTGTTTGGATTGGGGGGTATCCCGCAAACACTCCCACCCGATGCTGCCAGAGTTTCTCATCTCCTCCTCCTGTTGCCTCCTCCTCTCCATCTCTGCAATTGCAGCCAGGCTCTGGGTGGCATCTTTCTGCTCCGAGGTATCCTTGCTGCATGCTACCAGCTGCCTGCCGGCTCGTCTCATCCTTGTCCTGGGCTCATTCCTCCTGCTGGGACATGGAAGGCTCCCACTGCGCGACAGCGGTCTGACCGCACTCCACCTGACGTTGAAGCTGACAGTCGTGGTTGTTGAAAGCAAGAGGACGACGGCGACGCTCCTGACACTGAGCATGCTGGGTGATGCTGGGGAGGAGGATCAGTGAAGGAGGTCGGAGAGGCTCCGAAGGCAGCGATGCTCCTCACTTGTCTTGTCTCTGAGATCAAGGGTGAGCAGGGAACATGTCAGTTGGAGCTCTGCGTCTCATCTGCTCCCTACGTGAAGTGTGTCGAGCACGCAGATGTTTCAACATCTTCACATCTCATGTCTCGTTCATATCTCTCACCCCAACTCTTACTGCCGACTTTCTCCTTTCCCTTCCTCCAGCAACTCTCGCTCTCGCTCTCGCTCTCGCTCTCGCTCTCGCTCTCGCTCTCGCTCTCGCTCTCGCTCTCCCTCATTCATCCTCTCCCTCATCCTCTCCCTCTCACTCACCCTGCCTCTCACCCTCGTCCTTCCCTCCCTCCTTTCTTGCTCTCCTTGACTCTCCTCCTCTTCTTCCAGGCAGCATTTTGTTCTGATTTTGTTTATATGTTTCGGTTCCACCAACATTGTGGTACACATCGAAATGCACATGAGCCGCAATGAGGGGGGGGCAGCGTGAGAGCGATGGAGGTGCAGAGACGAGGGTGAGGGGAGGGAAGCGCGGGGGAAGGGAGGGGAGGGAGAGCGGAGCGGAGCGGAGCAGAGCAGAGCCGAGCAGAGCAGAGGGGAGGAGAGGACAGGACGAGGACGAGGCGAGCTTGA